GGAGTGATGGGCCTGGGTGTGGCTGGGAGTGATGGGCCTGCCTAGCAATTCCCAAACTCCAAAAGTTGCTGAACAGTTGGGGCCCCCCAAAACTGGAAACTCTAGAGGCCTCCAAGTAGTTGTGCTTTTTCTGGGGTGGTACATATAGGGAAAGTAGTATTTGACTGTTAATGGGCGGGGGAGACTCCCAACTTATACCTATACCCCAACCCCTACACCCCATGTACCCTAAACTGCCTGCTTAAAGCCAGGCTCTTATACCTATACCCCAACCCCTAAACCCCATGTACCCAAAACTGCCTACTTAAAGCCAGGCTCGATATGATGCAGTCCATGTCCAAGTCGGCAGCCAGCGAGGCGCAAGACCTTGGGGTACATGCGAGTTTCCGAAAATATGGGGTACCTTATTTGGGGTCCTTATAATAAGGATCCTACTATTTAGGGTACTAGATTAGGGTCCCATATTTTCGGAAAGCCCCACATAAGCTGGGGCTTTAGAGGTGGGATATCTCGGGATCTCTGTTTCATAGAATTTCACAAAGGTACAATGTTGAAGAGAAGTAGGACTTGTAGTAGGGATTTGTGTAACATCTCAGGGGCGCCTTCGGAATATTGGCGAGTGTGCATGTTGGCCTCATAAATTGTGGCGATACGGCGTCCGCGGCCTCGGGTCATGTCTCCGGGGCTGCGTGATGAGTCAACCGAAGCCTTGCGACGAGTTCGAAAGACAGTATATGGCCTGGCGAATCGGAATCTTAGCCGATTCTACAACACACTACGTCGCCTCGTAAGCAGGTGGCATTTGTGCAAGTACCTTTTCTGGTATTTTCGGAAAACTTAGCAGTGCTGCGGATGCTTGGGGCCTCAACTGCCGGCAGACAGCCTTGCAAGTTGCACAGCACCATGCTCCGCAGCCCTCAAAGCAGATCCCCACAGTCCAAAATTAAGCCGGCGAGCACAAGCTCAGAAGAAGGTATCTGAGGTGGACATACACTGCAGGCCTGAAGCCCTAAACCCAAGACCCTAAACCGCTGCCTAACCAAGCCATCCGCCAGCGCCGGGGAGCCACAGCGAGTGGCCGAGGCTTGGCAAAGCTGGCGCAAGCCCCAGCGTTAGGGGTTGAGGGTTTAGGCTTCAGATTTTCGTGCTCTGGGCTGCAGCTTTCTGACTCTTGAATGTCAACTGTCAAGCTTTCCTTCCTTCGAGTCCGCCCTTCTTAGGGAATGCCCGGGTGGAAATCTTAAAGCGGCGTACGTTCAAGGCCCCAGTCGGGCAACCTTTGACCATCGTAGTGCATGTGTTGAGAACCTCTTCTGGAAAAGACGATGACTATCTCTGGCAGAGTATCTGTCGATCTTTGCAGCCGTTCGTGGACTCTTCAATTTCGGCTTCGCTAGTTGTTTCAGCGGTGTCCGCAGAACTGAAACGAGTTGTGGCCAGAGCAGGATAGAGCACAACATGAGAGGAAGTCGGTAGATGCATGATTCGTATCTGGATGTATGAATGCCAAAACGCTCCGGCTTTTCTATCTAAGTTGTCGCTGCACCGGTTCAGCGATCCAGTGAAACGTCTGTCGCCTGCATTTCAGCCCATCGGGCTTCCTGAAGCCTCAGACAGCTGCAGCTATCACAATGGCTTCTTAGCGTTCTTCTGGTTGGCTCTTTAGACTTTAACTTTTTGGGTTTCTATAGGAACTATAATATCTAGGCGAAAAGTTTAACTTTTAGGAGGGGTTCAGAAGTACGCCAAGGCTTATAGGGTTTATAAGGGTTAGGGATTAGGATTTAAGTAGATCCCGAAGATCCCAAAGACTAGAGCTCACAGGGCTAAGGGGCTTAGTTACGAAAGGCCCAAGGTAACAGCACTCGCAGGGCTTACATAAGCATCGATAGTCTATGTTCATAGGGGTTTGGGGTTCCTGACATTCAACAACTCCCATCCTCAACCCTGAGGAGTCAGAGTAAGGCCTTCCCACCTTGAAGCTAGGTCTGAGGGTTTAGGGCTTTAGGGTTAACCATCAGCTAAAACCTTGAAGCAGCCGAGGGCTTCAGGCCCAGGAAGAAGAAGAAGCTTCAAAAAGAAGCCCTAGGAAGCGGAAGCGATGCAAAGTCCTAACAGGAGGTCGGACGACTTCAACGTGCCTTGAAGAAGAACCTTTAAGCATTGAACATGGCCACCCTTCAAGCCTAATATAGGGGCCTTAATAATTACCCATACTATTTTGGGGGCTCCTTACTATAACTATAGTAGAATATGCCCCAAAACCTTATTCTAATTATTAAGGCCCCGGCATTATTTAACATCCCATAGGCCTCTGAACCGAGCGCTCCGCCTGGCCATGGCCACTGCACCTGCAGCTGCAGCACTCAGCGAGGGCGAGCTCCGAAAGCTCCGTGAGGAGGCCCCTGGGATGTAGATGTGGGGCCTTTTTAAAGAATAAAGACCCTATGGGTAGTTCTCTAAATCAGGGTCCCTTTTTAGGTCCCCAATATAGTACGGCACCCTTATAAAAGGGGACCCTAGAGGGGACCCTAATTTAGAGAACTACCCCTATACATTACTGATGATTAGTTTGTTCGGCAGTATCATGGCCATTTGTGTTGATGGCAACCAAGCTTCGCATGATACTCCATAAATTCAGGGTCGACGGGTCAAGCTTTTTTCTGAACATCCCACATGCACAGCGTCAGGGGTTTTAATATAGGGGCCTTAATAATTAGAATAGGGTTTGGGGGTATAAAATACTATAATTATAAGAAGGAGTCCCCAAAACCCTATTCCAATTATTAAGGCCCCTACATCATGGTTGCGATACGCTTTTGGAAGTGACGTAAGGTTTGGGCTCCGGACCCCGAGGCTGGAGGCTTGAATGAATGCACTGCTTGCATGAGTCGTTGGAAGTCGAAGTTTTGGTCGTCATGCCTTTGGGTTCGGGGTTCCCGTGTGCACGGTGCATGAACTTCCCAATTTCCAGTGGTTTATCGACGTTTGGCCCGCCTCCACTAGTTGTATGGTGTTTCGTAGCACAGCGGTCTGTCGCCGGGTATCAAATTGCATGTTGCACTGCATGTTGAAGGTCTGTTTCGGTCTTCAACCCAAAGCGTCAAGCCCTAAACCCAAGAAAAGCGGAAACCAAAGCGACAGACTCGAAGGCAGTGCATTGGGCAGACTCCAAAGTCTCCTTCCTAAGGAATACCTGGAGGATCATGGGACTTAGTAAGTAATTATGGTTATAAGTACCTCAATTGCGGTTATAGGTACTTACAAACTATAATAGCTACCCTAATAATCTAATGATGACCCTCGTTACTAAGTCCCATGATCCTTTAAGTCTACTTTTATAAATCATACGGTAGTTTTCCCAAGGAGGAAGAGTTTCTGCGTCAAGAGATCCGCGTCGGTGGCTGCTACGAGCCGCTCCACGACCTAGGTGAGAAGGCCGTCGAAGAGTGGTTTAGGGCTTTATAAGTTTATAAAGGTTGAGGGTTTAGGGTTTGGAGTTTGGGGTTTAGGGTTTAGGGTTTAGGCCTAAATAATTAGAATAGGGTTTGGGCCCACTACACTATAATTAGACTAAGGAGCCCCCAAAGTAGTATAGGTAAGTGAGTGTTAAGGCCCCTACATTACAGGGTTTGGGGTTTGGAGGGTTCAGGGCTTAAGGGTTTGGGTCTTAGGGTTTGGGGTCTAGGGCTTGGGATTAAGGGCTTCGAGATTGGGGGTTTGGGGTTAGGGCTCGTTGTTTAGGGGCAGTTAGGTTTGAGGGTTTGGGACTTAGGCCGGACAGCACGCTGCATGGCAGGGTGCCGTAGTTTGGCCTCGTTGAGGTCGTTTTAGGGTTTGGGCTTCAAAGTTGAAGGTGTGGGGGTTTAGGCCTCAGAGGTTGTGCGCATCGAAACGGTGGTGATGATGAAGATGAGATGCCCGGCGCTGGAAGTTAGCAGCGGCAAACTAAGCTGCTCGAGCATATAAAGTACAAGTAACTTGGCATGGCCAGTGCCTGCACATCAAGCTTCCCTAACCCCCCAGGTACCTACTATATAGGGCCCTAGGGGCTCTAGTACCCTATATAGTAGGTACCTGAGGGGTTAGGGCTTGCAAGTATTCAGGACCCTGTGCACGTCAAACCACACAGCCGCGAAGCTATGGCCAGGCCGGATGTGACAAGCTTCCCGTAGCGTGAATTTGGGTGTTTCCGAAGATTGGGGGTACCTTATTTAGGGGTCCTTATTAAAGGGATCCTACTATTTAGGGCGAAAATTGGGGGGTACCTTATTTAGCGGTCCTTATAATAGGGATCCTACAATTTAGAGCGCAAATTGGGGGTACCTTATTTAGGGGTCCTTATAGTAGGGATCCTACTATTTAGGGTACTATACTCGGGTCCCCGATTTTCGGAAACCCCCATGTGTTGCTGCAACGCACAGATGAGACTGCAGGTTCAGACACGATCACATGAAACCGAAAATAGCAAGAGACCCGAAACCCAAAAGTCTCACAACCTCGTGCAAGTGAGCGAGCGACAGTGTGTGCACATGTGTATACACACACACACACACACCTTTTCAGCTTGTTGACTTTAATACGGCAGATAGAAGTGTATTGGTGATTTGGTTGCAAGCGTCAAAAATCTCACTGCCCACAGGAGGCCCTCATTGTAGATGCTGGCGCCAACGTTGGCACCGCGGCGAAGCATTCAGGTGTTCATGACCCTAAACCCTAAACCCAAGGGTCCATGTACCCAGATACTATATACGTTGGCCCCAAAGTACCTATATAGAGACTACTTTAAGGCCAAAGTATATACTATTTGGGCACATGGACCCTAGGGTTACACCCGAATTTTGCTGAATGGGGGTTGACGAGAAGACAGATGCAGCTCTGAGGCATTTTCGCAGCTTGGGCCTTGGAACGATGGCCTCGCTGTCATCTGCGCCTTGTCTTTGCCTTGATGTTCCGGAACTTCTCCAGCTTCAGGCTTGCAAATGCCCAATGTCTCTCCTGTAGCCTGCCGGTAATCTAAGGGCCGTAACAACTACCTATACTTTTTTTGGGGGGTTCCTTATGATAGTACTTTTTGTATGACGTACCCCAAAACTTTATTCTAATTTTTAAGGCCCCTACATTACGGGCATTTCTCCATGGTTCTCGGCCTCTGCTTTTGAGTATCATTTGCTACTGGTGTTGGTTTGGGTCTCGGGATTCTCGCATGCAGCCCAAGATCCCCTAAACCCTAAACCCTGAACCAAAACCCTACAACACAACCGAAGACATGCAGCTTCCGCGAAGCCAAACGGAGACAACTGGCTTAACCGGGGCAGGAACAGAGCCACTTCCGCTTTTCCCATGTTCGTCGACTGAGACACCAAACCATTTGCTGTAACATCCCAGAGCCTTAAATCGACGCTTCCGGCTCCACCCAGATATGGCTCTCTACCCATAGGCCCCATAGTAGTTCCTTTTTGGGGTTACCTTATAGGATTCTAAATATATAAACCCCCAAAAAGGAACTACTAGGGGGCCTTTGGGTATAGGCAAGAAGCTCCGTAAGGCCGTAAGGGCCAATACACCTCAAAGCAAGCTGAGCCAAGACGTCGAAAACATTTAATATAGGGGCCTCAATATTTACCTGTACGATTTTAGGGGCTCCACTCCTTATTATAAGTATATCATAAAGGACCCCAAAACAGTATTCTCATTATTAAGGCCCTACATTAGCCCTCACTTGCAAACCCAAGTCTACATGGTTGCTCTTTACTTCAGGCTCTGCGTGGAGCCTTTGCCGCCCCTGGTGACTCGCCTGAGGGGCAGCTTGAAGGCTTGGCTGTTGGGTTTCGGGAGCAGATGTAGGGTTTAGGGTTTAGGGCTTAGGGGTTGATATAGATACACAGGTACTATAGAGGCCTTAATTTTAGAATAGGGTGTGGGGGTTAGAATATACGATAATATAGATACACATGTACTATAGAGGCCTTAATGATCAGAATAGGGTTTGGGGGTATAATATACCATAACTGAAATAAGGAGCCCCCAAAACCCTATTCTAATTAATGGGGCCCCTACAGTATGTATATTGCAGCCATGTGCTCGGCATGCATATGGAGCTGGATACGTGGGTTTGTCTTGTTTTAAAAAACCGAGTACGGAGTAGGAAGTTCGCTTTACGGGGCTACTGGGGAACCAAAACCTGAATAATAAGCACTGCCACTGGCGCAGCCGTTGGAGTTTCAGCGCGTACAAACAGCTTTCCCTGTCTCCGTGCCGTCAGGCTCTCACATGAAGGATGGTGTTTTACTCTCCGTGATGGGTGAATGTTGCCGTTCACCCCATCAGCATGCCTTCCACGTGCGAAATCGAACTCAACCAAAAGAAATGAGCACGAAGCTTAAGGCCAAGTCATGACCGATCAGTGGCCTTTGGACATCTAACTAACCTCTTATAAGAGCCCAGAGCCTCATTCGATAGTTCTGGATCCCTAAAGCCTAAACTCAGGCGGATGAAAGGGACTACTGCACTGAAAAAAGGACATACTCCTAAACCCACATCCCTGCACCATAATCCCCAAACCCTAAGCCCTGCAATATAGGCCTTAATAATTGGACTAGGGTTTTAAATTTTGGGGGCTCCTTACTATAATCATTATAGTGAAATATCCCCCAGAACCGTATTCTAATTATGAAGGCCCCTAATTACCCATACGCCCCATAGTAGTTCCTTTTGGGGGGTTCATATCTAGAATCCTGCAAGGTAACCCCAAAAAGGAACTACTATGGGGCCTATGGGTAGACTTTTGACCCTCTAAGCCCTGTTCCGGTGACAGGAAGTTGGAGGATTGACTCGCGCTGCTGTCGTGGCTGCAGGGCTCGGATCCGAGGAAGCTCAGGTGGGCAGGCAGTATGCTTTTAGGGTTACCCATGGGCCCCATAGTAGTTCCTTTTTGGGGATTAGCTTATAGGATTCTAAATATGAACCCCCAAAAGGAACTACTATGGGGCCTCTGGGTAGGGCGTTAGGGTCAGGGCTTTAGGTTTCGGGCTTGAGGGTTAGGGTTGGTTCTGGTTCTAGAGGTGGGGTTTACCGTCTACAGCAAACACAATGCCGCAACCCACCAAACCATCAATCAATCCAAGCACAAAGGCCTGAACTTGACCCCTAAGAGTAGTAAGTCATCTTGTTCCCTAGGGCTACGATCTCTGTACCTTATAGTCATAGTGTCAAACCTGAAGAATTCCCCTAAACCCTAAACCCTAAAGCCTCGGTTTACCCCCCTCGCAGTCCGCCACTTTCCGCTACTTTCCCTGGGCGCCTGGGGAGTCAACGCGGAATGTCGAGGAGGTTCCGGCTTTAGGACGGTGGCTGGTAGGAAATCAAGCTAGAAGATGGGTTTGGGGGGGGGTTTAGGGTTTAGGATATGGAGGGTTTAGGGGTTTGGGGTTTAGGGATGGGAACTTGTAGGAGTTTAATGGATTCAAGCTTAGGGGGTTTGGGTTCATTTTGGGATGTGTTGGGCACCTTCTAGGCTCAACTAAATTTGGCTGGTGCCAGCCCTCTCTGCCGCGGCATCGAACTCAGCGCGACCTTTCAAACCACTTGCATCAAGATCGAGCAGAGCAGGCAGGATAATGCGAGTTCACACAGGCAGGGAGACAGAAAGAGTAAACAATCGCCCGCCTGCAGATGAGACAAGACAGCAAAAGGTGTAGACCCACCGCCAAGGCAAGACAACCTGTCAAGACGAAAGCCCAAAACCCTAAACCCAGTACACCTTAGACTCTAAACCCTGTGGTGCCCTAAACCCTAAACCCGACAAGCCCTAAACTGCCTTCGAAGCAGTTGAATCCAAGCTGCAAGGCTGCTGCGCAGCAGATTCGCCTCGCTGCTGCTGCCGCCGAGGCCCGCAGAGTACAAAACAACCCATAAGGTTCATGGTCTTATGAAAGAGCCTATAAACTATAAACACTATACAAACACCTATGAAATCCCTGCCAAAGCCCTGCCTCAACATTATGTCCTCTTCTCTTGACACGTTATTGTTGCTGCTATCAGCACTGTGCCTACCTACATTTATCGTATTTGTTTCTACTGTTCGTCGGATTGTGATCTATGCTGCTATAGGTCTTGCCTTGCCGCTTTGCTGGTCTTCCAAAACATTTTGTGGTGCTGGTGCTGACAATGGAAGCGGCTACTGTTGCCGCTGCTGCTGCTAATGCTGGTGTGGAGTTGCTGCTGGTTCTGTTGCCAACTCCTGAACCCCAAAGCTAGACCTAAGCGCAACACCCGGAAGTGCGCAACCCTACACTCCAGGCCTAGACCCTAAGCCTAACTTAAACCCTCAACCCTAAACCTTACAGAGCATGATCGACTGGCTCGGATGTTTGCCGTGAACTTTGCTTTCGCCGCAAGGCACCAGTCCCAACACCGTCACTTTGGCAGTGTTTGGCTCGGGAACGGATGGAGCATGAGTACTGTACAAGTAGGAGCCTAAATAAATAGCCGTACTATTTTGGGGTGTTAGTTATAGCATGATATACCCCAATGCCCTATTCTCATTAGGCTTCAGGCGTTCAGGGTTTCGAGTTCAGGGCGCTGCGGTCGTGAAAACCCTAAGCCCTAAACCGCCTAAACCCTAATCCCTAAACCGTCTAAGCCCTAAACTCCAAACCCTAAACCCTAAACCGCCTAAACCCTAAACTCAAAACCCTAAACCCTAAACCCTAAAGCTTGGGGATCTAGGCTTCAATTCTTCTGCTTCGGTTCGTCGGCCGTGCATTTACTCTTTGTTTCGTTCCTGTTGTAACCTGCGGTGCAACCCTAAAAATCCAAGAACCAAAATAGTGTGTGTGTGTGTATATATATATATACACACTTTGGCCTTAAAGTAGTCCGTATAGAGGTACTTTGGGGGGCGATGTATCTACTATTTGGGTTCCTGGACCCCTGGGGTTAAGGGTATAGGGTTTAGGGTAAGGCTGCTGGATTGCACCCCCAACCCCAGACTTGCCCCCAAACAAACCCTAAACCCTAAACCCTAAACCCAAACCATGGGCTTTGTGGGCCTTGAGGCCTCGGGCGTTGTTGTCCTGTAGCTGGGTTCTTGTTAAGGGGTTTGGGGTTTAGGGTTTAGGGGTTTAGGGTTTAGGGTTTAATTTAAGTTACCCCAATACAGAAACCATAGTATTTGATATAGGTCCCTAGTATGATTATTTGCGATAGATCCCTAGCATGACTAGTTTACTATAGATCCCTATTATGGTAACATAAGTTAAGCTTCTTAACAAGACCCCAGGTTGGATTGCCACGACGGCCATGATGTGCTGGGTTTATGAGTAGACCCTAAACCCTAGACCCTAAACCCCGAACCCTGAA